AGGAGGCTGTGGCTAGCCTGCAGTGCTGTGTCCTTACCTGTTGCGCCACTAGGGAGGGCCCTTGAAGAATGTCTTTTTTAATGTCTGAATTATTAGTGCTTAATATGTACTTCTTCTTTTGACTGTAAGGATGTCCCAACCAATCTCCTTGGTCCGTCCACAAATGCAGAGGCTGGAAAAGCAGAGCCTGCATGTAGGAGTGGTCATGAACAGTGAATTGCATCTGGCCAATGAATTCAAGAGGAAATCTTGATTCATCTATTAGTTGTGGTTCTGTTTATTTTATTTTTTAAAAACAATTTATTTATTTATGCATACAAGAACTGGGGTCTAGGCCAGAGATATAGGAGGTGAGAGGATTCACCGGAGACAGAGTGGAAGCAGAACAGGCAGATGTACTGAAATACACTGCTGACGGGAGCAGGGAGTGAGACAGGAAAGGTCTGCTGTGCCATGTGGGTCATTTCCCTGGCCAGGGATTGAACTCGTGCTGCAGTGGCTGGTGATAGCTCGATAGTGCTGAGTCTTAACCTCTTATGCCACCAGGGAGGTTCTCTAGTATTTATTTAGTAAAAGCTTAACTGATGATTTTAAGCAGTGTTTGTTGCTGTTCTTTTATATCTCCCCCAAGGCTTTGCAGTCAATTGGGTTTGGCAGTTGTGAAAATGATTCCTTATGGAAATCTGTATAAAGTGGTGCCCTGGTGCTGGCTCATTCCTGATTGCTCAGTCCCCTGCTGTTGGTACTCAGTCCAGGGCTTGAGTGGCATGGCTCAAGCTGGATTTTCAGGAGTTCAGGGAGACTTTATATCTTCTTCAATGCCTAAGGACTCAGCATCCAGCTATCTGTAAGGATGCCCATCAGTGGTATTTAATAATGAATGTATGCATTAGGACTTGGGCTAGGGTAACTAAATGACCATGTATTGTATGTACTAATGTTTCCCTGACATTTGTTAACTTGTATTGCACATTACTGTGAACTTACCATAGTCTAAGATTCCTTGAATGATATAGTTCTTGGAATGACCATATAGCTTTCGGATCTTGGATGACAAGATTTCAGTTCAGTAAACAACTAAAAAGCTCTTGTTACTATTGCATCACGTCGATTTACTGAAGTTAGGAAATTGTGATGAAAGCAAATAAAAATAGCAATCTCTTTAAATATTTGGAGTTGTAAAGCTTAACACTTGGTAATAGAAGACAAAGAAAAGAAGGGAAATGAACATTTATCCATAACTCAAGATGGAATAGAGATGAAGCAAGTGAAGCCAGGTGAGGCAAGTCTGCATGATCTGCTGAACCATATACTTCAGTAAGTGGCAGAGCTGAGGTGCATCCACAAGGACTGGAGTCAGAGAGCTGAGTTTATGCTTCTCATCTCACCACACTGGGGTAGTGCCTGTATCCAGAGCACTAAAGTCTTTTTTTTTTTTTTTTTGCAAAACACATTGTATTTTTTAAAAATAAGCTTTACTTTTAAAAAATTACATCAAAAGAGAGGAGATAGAACAAGTAAAGTTCATTTTTCTACTGGCCCTATATAAAGAGCAGTACTTATTATTTGTGCAATCTGAGCAAGCTATTCAGAGCCAAGCAGTTGTGTTGAGCTGGTGACCAGCCTTGCACTGAAATCCTGTTACATATACAAGAACACATAATTTTGGAAATAAAACTAAGTCAGCACATTGCCTGCCCTTAACCAAAAATTAGTGGTCTTCTTATTACAGGGCAGGGAGAGAGGAGCACCCTGGAACCCCCAAACCTGCCTGCTTTAAATGGGTTCTGCCATCTACTGCATCAAGACAAGACGTATAAGACTCTAATGAAAAGAAACTTTAATATAATGAGTATACAACACAGAAGACAAAGAACATAATTTCTAAATTGAACACCTGAAGTTACCCATCCCCTTGTGGGCAAAAGTCCACCCAAAAGGGACTGGCCCAAAG